AAACAAACTACACCCTGCAATATCTCAGTACACATATTTGTGTCCTCGGCAGTTCCCTTGCTGGCGATCATTCTTCTTGTCAATTCCTCAACGCATGCATGACAACACATTCACTGTGGCAAAATTGCGTGGCCTCCAATTATAGCCTTCATGAACCCTCAATGCTCTCCACTTCATAGATATTGGTAAAGATTGTGCCATGAGCAAACACCACGACGAAGAGCAGGATCGACGCAAAGAAAGTACCAACAACTTATCTGTGCAAATACATAGCCGGTGCAAACCAACTTCGTTTGTCAAGAGCCATAACTATGGTGTGCAGGTTTGTTTTAGAAATGATCGAAGTGTTGTTGAATTTAACTATACAAGCACTGACTCCGCAATGGGTGCGGGGAAGGCAATGCACAAGAGGGCAAGAGGAGGAGGAGGAGGAGGATCTGCGTCGTCCGTTGCTCCTTGCACCCTGGTGGGCAACACAAACCGAGACCATAACATGGTCGTGAGGCTTTATGAAATGCAGCGAAATTTGTCGAGAACGTGAGACACACTGGTATCGTGTGGTGGACATTTATTTTCAAGGGGTGACAATGTGCGAATTAGGGCAAAATGAGCACCAGAATCCTCCATCGCATGTGCGAATGGACTGTATGAGCTAGCGTATGTGGGACAAGTGGAGACGTCTATCACAAATTGATGATAGAGGTCACAAAGGCAATCGTACAGCAGGCGAGTATGGAGGCCAGGCCAAGTGACAGCGATAATAAGACACAAATCATCGTCATCATCATCACCATTGACATCATCATCATCTGGAAAGTAGGGAATCAGTTTGTTGATTGTATGTTAGGGATCGCACTCGCTCATGTCAGTCGGCAGCCATCCTAACGGGCAATTGTCGAATCAATTGTTGTGCCAAGAAAACTAGTGAAGTGTACGCTCTATTGCAAAGCCTGTAGCATGTGTACCAGCTATGGAAAGGTAAACTGGAAATAGCAACACCTCAATTCCCCTCGACAGTCACCACCACGCCATCGCTGTCTCGGTCAACTGAAGTCCCAGGATTACTTGCGACTTGCGTCTGCCTGATTGTGAGATGTAGTTGTGAAGGCGGAGAGGTGAAGCGATGGCATTGGCGTCACATTCTACAGCATTGGAGGGGAGGAAGAAGGAGTGGGAGGAGGAGGATGAGGAGCAGGAGGAGGAGCAGGAGGAGTAGATGCAGCAGTCGAGA